TTTTTTGGTCTTTTTGAGACAGGGTCTCCCTGTAGCCCCAGCTGACCTGGAACTCGCTATGTAGACCAGGCTGGCCTCAAACTCACAGAGCTCCACCTGCCTCTGTCTCCCAAGTGCTGGGATTAAAGGCGTGCGCCACCACACCCGGCCCAGCATGCTGTATGATTTTTTAAAAAGGCATTGTTGAGTCACAGTTCCTTCCAGCATGCTTCATATTTTCTATATTTCCTCATTCTGGAATTGGGGAACTAAAGAGACAAAAAGGAGCAAAGATTTCAAATAATGTCAACCCAGAATAGATATAAAACTTTGTAGAAAATTCTGACCATTTTAGACTGCTAACAGGCCGGGTATGGTGGCACTTGCCTATAATTATAGCAGTCAGGAGGCTGAGGTAGGAGGATCATGAGTTCCAAGTTAGCCTAGGCTCCAGCTAAAAAAAGTGACAAATCAGTTTTTATAACTTGCAATCTTTGGGCTTTTTGAGACAAGGGTCTTCCTGTAGCCCTAGCTGGCCTGGATCGCACAGAGATCCACTGACCTCTGCCTCCTGAGTCCTGGGATTGAAGGTGTATGCCACCCTGCCTGGCTAACATGAAATATTAAAAGGCAGTCCTTTTTGAAAATGTGGTTACCATGCAGGTCAAACAGAATGAATCTGAAGGTTCAGCTTCACTCAGAGGCTACAAGGTCACAATTTCTTAGTTTAGAAAACATTTCTCAAAACTACCTTCTTGCCCAACTGTACTGTACTAAACTGAACTGTACTAAAGCTGAAAATCTTTCTGATGACCGAAGATTTTCAGAGCCCTCTGGCTTTTTCTTTGAAATATCAATTTTAATTCTAGTGTGTTTGGCTAAATGTGTTTGACCTTATTCCTCCAAGCAGTGTCTTTTCTGTAAAATTCTTGTAACTTTTTATCATGAAATATTTCAGACATAAAAAGGTAGAGAATAATTTAATAGTCACATACAATAAAGCTTAAAGAGCAAATCATAGATCCAGTTGAAATCCCCATTGGACCCCTTCCAAAGCAATTCTCTTCCTTTTTTTAGAAGGAAACACTACCCTCACTATTGTCATTATAATGCATGTCTTACACTTATTTTATAGTATTGCTCTGCAAGCTTAAAAACTACATGGGCTCTAAAAGTTGCACTTTCTTGCCCATTGTATTTGCAGGTTCATCCATATTATTGCAGTGAGCAATGATGTCTAGTTTTGATATCACTGCCACAATTCACTGTATGAAGAGATCCCAGGACTCACTTGTTCTGTTGATGGGCATTTTTTAAAACTTATGAATTTATGCTAAACTTCAGTCTATTTCTTTATGCTTCTATGTGTAAAACTTGAGAGGGGAGGGAAGGGAAAGAGGGAAGGGGAGGGGAAGAGAGAGAGAGAGAGAGAGAGAACATGAAGAAACAGTTGGAAAGTTACTTTATATGAACTTCTAGCAATGATAACAGCATTCATAAGACCCATAAGACCCATGCAAGACAAAATCCCTGAATAGAAATGGAGAAGAGAAGATGCCCCAACACTAGCTGAAGAATTATTCCCAATCAATAGAGAGAGAGAGAGAGAGAGAGAGAGAGAGAGAGAGAGAATGAATATGAATCCCTGGAGAGTTCTGCTTAGTCAGACTTAGAGTAATGAATACTATGCTACTTTATAGACAAGCTGGGAAGAAGCGGACAGGTTTGTTAAGTAGCCAGGTAGGCACCAAAACATGTCATTATGAGTCCTGAGTTCCTCAACAGGCTTATCAGGACTGGGAAGGAGGCTGCTGGCTGCCACTTGGAAATATGGACCATTTCCAACTCCCTACTTGGAAATGGTATGCTTCAGGATGGTCCTGAGCTTATGAAAATCCAGGCTGTTAAAGAATGATGGGAGAAGGGAGGGGTATGTTTAGCTAGAAATTCCAGGTATCTTCAAGGACTTCACCTTACAGAGAATTCTTCTTTGAAGATCACTTCTTATTTAACCCTGACTCTGGTGACCTTTCTTGAGCAATAAGGAAGGATCCAATGCTTAACCATTTGATGGAAAACTTGAAAGCACTTCACTCAATTCAAAGGTTTAATGTAGATCAAAGCTATGTGCAATACTGTCCATGATTCTTCACAGAAATAATGCTTAAAAGGAATTCATAAAAACTGAGAGAGAACATCGAGTATAATAAAAACCCAGATGAGATGACATTTTTCCTGGTAAGGAAACAGGTTTTGGAGTTTCTGGCTCTCCCTAAAACTCCACGGTTTCATCTGAAAATACGTGAGTCAGTTCCTGTGAGGGGTAGTAACATCTACTAATGATTGTTTCACTTCCCTGCCATTAACAGAGGAAACTTCCTTGACTCCCAGATACTTAGGGAGGAAAGTAAAGGCCAAACACATGAAAACCACAGCAAATTTCTCCAAAGCCTGACTTAATTGGCTTTCTTTCACTACTCTAAGAACTCTGATCATAAGCCATAACACGACACACAGAACCTGCAATTAGGTTACTCAAGGTAATAAGTGCTGCTAACAATTGGCACTTAATAAGACTATTTTCAAAATACTTTAATTAGTATGTTTTGAAAACTAATCCAGAAAGGAAGATAGGTGATGCTTCTCCAACATCTGGTGACCCAGAAAACCCAAGGTGCAGGGATTGCTAGAGAGGTGTCAAAAGCTCTCTTCACCACTGAGTACTATGAACACGTGTAGCCTACCACTCCCTCTCCTAAGTCTTGGGAGAGATGTCAAGAAAAAGCAAAAAGAAATGCATCTTTTGTTGTTTTCTTACTGGGTTTCTTTCAATTCTTTGGGGGAACCACGATCTTCTTGCCTTAGGAGTTTTTAAACTTTACCAGCCTTCAGTTTCCCATGGAAAAAAATAAATAAATAAATAAAAGAGATGTCTCAGAAAACTGTTCCTGCTCCCTAGCCTCTCCTTAATTAACCACAGGAGCTGGGCTGGGAATCTCTGTTGGATCTTGATGGTTCTTTACAGCACTCATCATTCATTCCGGTTTATTAATGTCTGTTTTCCTCCAATGGACTAACCTGCATGGGGCAGTTACCATATCCGTGTTATTTACTGCTGGTTTCTCACCTCCTAGAAAGGTAAAGAATCAGAGTGCCACAAATGTGTGCCAAATGAAAACATCTCATGCTGTAGACAGCTGGAGAGTCTCAAACTTTATTGGTCACAAACAAAAATGCTTAAAAGCTTTTTTCTTTTTGAATTTTTGTCGTTGGTCTTAGCAACTCATCCAAAGATTTAATGACTTGAAACCAACATTCTTCTGAGGATTAATGCATGACAGGCAGCATCTATCCTTACTTCTGGTCAACAGTTGATCTGACCACAGTAGTAAGGTACATGATGCACTTATATACATGCAATTAAAACACTCATACACACAAAAAAGTAAGATTTAAAAAACTGTCATCTTTCAATGTTCTGTCCAATTAACCACTGATCCCTGTCCAACAGGATTCCCCAGTTATGTTGCCTGCCAGGCTCTGAAGGTACTTGAGATTGCAACCTGTCCAATTCCAGTTCTCAACTCAGAAAATTCACTTATGTAAAACATGCCTTCCCCTAGGTACTCAACTTAGTAATATATTCTTACCAGAACAGACACTAAACACATCATTCCTCAGATATTCTGGTAAGTCTGGTTTTAAATACTAATACATGTAAATTTGGGTTTTGCCATATTTGTAAAAGTTGACCTCATGGCAAACAGCAAAATAGATCAACCTTCAATCCTGTGGTGATGCGCAGAGCCAGGTAAGAGAGATTGCTGCTGTGGGTGAAATGGTGCACACTTGTCACCCTAGCACTCAGGAGGCCAAGGCAAGATGGACCATGAATTTGAGACCAGCGTAGGCCAGATAGGGCATTCTAAGCCGTACTGGACTCACTTGTGTAACTGTGTCGAAAATCAAGAAAATGGGGTGGGGGTCTCATTGATATTTCTGTGCCATTCTGGTAATGCTATCCACAGGTTTGTTGAGAAGTTATTTCTGGGCTAATTAAAGATCTTGATTCAAAAAATGTATATCTGCCTGACTGCCTACTGTCAAACTGCTTTTTTATGTAAATTTTCCTTCTTCTCCTGGTGGGTCTGAAGATGACAACAGCAACACGACAAGAAGTCCTTGGCCTCTACCGCACCATTTTCAGGCTCGCACGGAAATGGCAGGCGGCATCAGGGCAGATGGAAGACACCATCAAAGAAAAACAGTACATACTACATGAAGCCAGAACGCTGTTTCAGAAAAACAGAAATGTAAGTCGGCTCCCTCTGGAGATGGCAAGGAGGAGAGAAGCTTCTTGTGTTTGTTCCTTTCTTTCCTAAGTGAAGAAGACACATTTAAGTCACAGGGGCAGGAAGGGACCAGTATGCACCTTGGCTAGGATGCCAGTGTTACTGAACCACTAGAAAGTTAAGCCCAGCTGGTAGGCTCTTCACTTGTTCTAGTTCTCAGTCCAGCCAGTAAATGCCTCAGCATCTTCAGGAGACCCAATGAGCCAGGTGACAGAAGTCATGTCCTCACATACTTTGCCCGTTTCCAGCTACTCCCAGGGGGGCATATGCAATAGAATGCTTTTTTCAATTCACAAACCATCCAAAGCCTCCCAAATAGAAACCCATTCAAAGGGGAAAGAACAGGATTAAGACATGGGGCTCCCTCTATAACTTAGCCATGAACTTTTGGGCTAACAGAGTCCTACCACAGAATTTGGTAAAATAATGCTTCCATTAGCTACTTTGACAGAACTGCACACCTAGACACCAGTTTTAAACCATGCTGACAAGCCCTCAAGCACTAGCTGGCATCCCCTTGGGAAGATTGCCCAGCACAAAGAATGGAAGGTGGCTGACTTCTCTTTGTCCACTGATGTCATTAATGGGTTCAGTGCTGTTACTGTGTCTCTCGTGACTTCCAGGGTACTCTGCTTTTCTCTCCCTGATCCTGTCTTTTTCTGGCTCTGTCTTATCTACACCACCTCCCACTACTTGTGTGCCATCTGAAAGACAGTCTGTATGCTGAGACTGCTTCTGAATGTCCAGCCTGGTCTCTGACCAACCTTCTGAAGGACCTCACATCAGCCTAGTCATCTGTTTGTAAGAGTTCCCCCTAACTTGCCATTCCTATTGTAGCTCTCTGACCTACTACCACTCTGTAACTCTGTTGTTATTCCTCATTCAGGTGCCTACTGTGTGCCAAATACCAGACTAGACATTGGAATAGAAAGTGAATAAAACCAAGACAGGGTCCCTCAGAGGGACAGGGAGGGTTTGTTTTGTTTTTTGACATAGGGTCTCAAGTAGCCCAGGCTACCCACAAAGTTCTCTACTTCTCAAGTGCTAGGATTAAGATGTGCCACACTTGGTTTTATTTTTCATGCTTTTGGGGGGTGGGTGGGGGTCTCCCTGTAGCCCAAAGGGAGGAAGATCTCACTATGGAGATCAGGCTGGTCTTGAACTCATATACATCTATATACCTGCCTCTGCTTCCCAGTGCTAGGATTAAAAGCATACACCACCATACATGGTCTTTCTCTATGCTTTTTTAAAAAATATTTTATTCTATTTTTTATGTGTATGCGTGTATTGCCTGCATGTAGGTTAAGTGTTACCCATGTCGTGCAATGCTCGCGGAAGACAGAAGAGGCTATCATATCCCCTGGAACTGGAGTTACAGACAGTTGATAGCTGCCATGTGGGTGCTGGAATGCGAACCCGGGTCTTTTGCAAGAACAGCCATCTCTCCAGCCCCTTCTCGATGCTTTTTAAGGCCAAGTTGGCAATGAGGTTTCTATTCTGACCCTTCTCTAGCTTCACCAGACTCTTCCTGCTCTTGTAGACAGTGCTTACCAAACCAGTGTTTATACAATACACCCCAGGAGGTCCTTAAATAATCTTCTGAAAAATAGAAATGAAAAAGTACAACTACTATTTGCTTTTTATTCCATTCACTATAAAGGTTGATTTTTAGGTACGTATAATGAAATCGCTAGTACATGTATACAGATGGTCCCTGACAAGTTTTGTGTTTTGTTTTACTTTATAATGATACAAAGTGACAACATTTGGCAGAAACTATATTTTGAAATTTTAAATATTCAATACTTTATTATAAAGTAGACTCTTTTTCTCCTTGAGACAGAATCTCACTCTATAGCCCAACCTGAAATTCATTCACTAGGTAGCCTAGGCTGGCTTCAAATGTACATACAGTCTTCCTGATTCAGCTCCTGAGTGCTGAGATTATAGGTATGTACCACCACACCCAACTTTATGTTAGATAATTGTGCCCAACTCTAAGCTAACATAAGAGTTTTGAGGAGGTTGAAGGTGGGCCAGGCTAAATCATGAGGATAGGTAGTTTAAGTGTAGTGTTAAATGCGTTTTCAGCCTACCATGAGTTTATAACTTAATAGGGGACATCTGTGTTGTAGAAGTTAATACAGTCACAAATCAGTATATTTGTATGGAAACTGGACTCAGGGAATAAAGAGGGTTTTTTGGTTTACTTTTTGAGAGTCTTGCTCTTGTATGTAGCCCAAGCTAGCCTGTAACTTGTCCTGCCTGAGTGCTGGGATTGCAGTCTGTACCTCCAGACCCAGCAGAAATTGTTTATTGAAAGGGAAAAGTGAATGAGAAGATTGGCGACTCCTCAGTAGTTTTTCTTCTTTGTGTTGAAATGGTTTTCCTAACCCAAAGGTCAGTGTCGACAGCATGAAGGCAGTGTCTTACATTTCTAGTCCATCTCCGGAGCCCTGCTGTGATTCTCACTAAATGAAATACTTGGATTCAGTTGACCGAGGTCATCTTGCTCTGCTCCCTCTAACCTGCAGGGTCTACCTGTTCAGAACTCGACAGCAATGCCTAGCAGTCATTGTGGTCATTGGTTATGTACCACTGTGCCTTTCTTTCTGGGGAACCCTGAAGGTATTTTATAATTGTTGGGGGTTTTGCTTTGTTTTTACTTATTTGTATTTATGTGTATGAGTGTTTTGTCTGAATATATGTAAGTGCATCATGTACATGCAGTACCCGGAGGTCAGAAGAAAGTGTCTGATCCAGGAGCTCTGGAACAATGGTTATTAGCCACCATGTGGGTGCTGGGAACTGGACTCAGGTCTTCTGCAAGAACAGCAAGTGCTCTTAACCACTGATCCATCTTTCCGGCCCTCTGTTGTTGGGTTTTGGTTTGGTTGGTTTTGAGACAAAGTTGCACTGTAACCCTAGTCTGTCCTTGAACTCACAATCCTCTTGCCTCTGCCTCTGTGCTGTAAGCATGTGCACCACACCAGGCTTCCACTGTGCCTTTTCTGTATATCCATATGTCAAAGTTGTTCTGCACATATAGTATCTGATAGCTGAAGGCAGAGACCATGACCCCACAATGTCTGGCTAGCGATATCATGAAATGTACCCAGTAAAGCTGTGCAGGCTCACTTGTCTGAAGGATTACTCAAGACTCGGTTTTCACTCATTACAGAAATCATTCTTTAGCCTCTACCTACTGTGGGCAAGGGGTGAGACAGGGAAGTTTATGGTCCACTGATGACACATGGCATTATGTGGGGACAGGGAAAGGAGGTACACTGATTTCTAACTTTAAGATGTATAGTTATAGCAATTTTTAAGGAAAAAATAAATGTCAGGCCAGAAGTTCACAAATACTGTTGCTTAGAGGCAGTCAATTTAAAGAAAAATTTTAATATTAGTACAGGTGACATACGTGGATGTCACAGAATCATGGAGGCAGGCCATGAGTGACTGAATTTGGAGAACTCTGTTTAGATTGATGCTGGAGCCCCAGAAGCCCAAACCAAGTCATCTTTGTCGGGGCTTTTCCTTTCTCCCAGTTCCTCATGTAGACATAAGCAGTTCCTAGAACCTCAGTTGCACTAAGAGTGTAATAATCCAAAGGTATCTCATTAATTGCTCTGAATCCCACTGAGGCAATAGGAACATGAACATTTATTCTCAGTTGTAGACAGCAGAGCTATAGCTTCTGAGAAGCACCAAGGTCTGAGAGTTAAGCCTCTGCCCTAAGGGACTCAGCTGTGGTTCTCATCATTGCTGTTCCCGGAACTCCCTTGGAATTTCCAAGCGACATGGCCAGACTTCACTTGCTGGTGTCCTCTGGCCTGATGCAATTCTAGCTCTACTTTGAGGCACTCTCGAAAACTCACAGAGGATCCACATGCTGATCTTTTTTTCCAACCTCAGAATGAAAGTTTCTCTCCTTCTCTGACGTGACTTTCTGTTTATTTTTCAGAATAAACCTTTCATTCCTTTACTTGAAAATACACTACCAGGATTTGACCAATTTGGGGATTTCAAAAGCCCTTTGTTTCCCTTACTAAGGAGTAAGGGTATTTGCAGTTTAAAAGAAGAGGCAGTTCTTTCTTCAGTATCTTCCTCAGGTGGTCTCTGAACTCTTACTAAAACAACTGGTTACTTTAACTTGATAGGAATATAAATTTACAGATTGTTCATGGGAATATAAATTGGTACAAACTCTAGAAGGCGATTTGGGAATGCTTTGAAAATTAAAAATGCATGAACCTATATGGACTCTCTGTCTTAGTATTCTTGTTCTAGAAATTCACCTTTTAGATGTGAGCCTAAAAAAAAAATAATTTCAGAAAGATCTATAGCTACTTATTTATAATGGCAGAAGAAGACTGGAAATAACCTAAATATCCATCAGTAGGAAATTGGTTAAATTAATAAAGCCTTATGTTGGAATTTTGTATAGTTTTTAAAGAGTAGAGTAGCTCTTTATATGTGAATACAAAAAGAGCTTCAAAGTATGTTAATGAAAAAGCAAGGCTCAAAAAGTGAGATATTGTTTTTACAAGAAAAAACTAGAGCCAGTGAGATGGCTCATTGGGTGAAGGTGCTTGGCACACAACCCTAATGACCTGAATTCAATCCCTGGAACCCACAGAAAGGTGGAAGGGGAGAACTGACTGCACAAAGTTGTCCTCTGCCCTCCACAAAAGTGCCATGGCATATCTCCATGGTGCCTGGGTGTTCCTCCCACTCACCCACACATGTAAAAATTAGAAAAATACAAAAAAACTAATTCTCTCTTTCTAAAATTATTTTATTTTTATTTATTTTTATATGTGTGAGTGTTTTGCCTGCATGTATGTACCCATGTCATAACAGTGCCTGAGGAAGTCAGAAGAAGGTATTGAATCCCCTGGAACTAGAGTTACGGATGGTTGTTAGCCACCATGTTAGTGCTGGGAACTGAACCCGGGCCCTCTACAAGGCCAGCTAGTGCTCTTACCCACTGAGCAATCCTCTACAGCCCCTAAGTCTTTCTGTAAATAGGTTTATATATGTATAGACTGTCCTTGGAAGGACAAAAAAGTTGTCTTTGAGAATGTGGACTGGAGGAGGTCTTCTGTATTGTATTGTGGTCTTCTGTACTTACTATATTTATCATGTATGTGTATTGCCTATTTCAGCTATTTAAAAGTTTAAGATATGGAAAATTTTAATACTAAATTGCTTTCATGTGTGTGTGTGCGTGCATGCGTGTGTGTGGACAGGCTCTCACTATATACCCCTGACTGGCCTGGAGCTTGTAACAGTCCTCCTGCCGCTACCTCCCAAGTGCTGGGATACAAGCATGTGCTACTATGTCCAGCCCACTAATGATTTTTTTTTTTAACTTACCAGTGTTTAATTTCCTGGTTAGTGAACTGACTTAAGAAGATCTGTACCTATACTTTATATACTATTAGAAAGATACTAAATGTCTCATTCTCTCCTTTATATAGCTCACAGACCCAGACCTGATTAAACAGTGTATAGATGAATGCACAGCCAGGATTGAAATTGGACTGCATTACCAGATTCCTTATCCCAGGCCAGTAAGTATGACTCCAGTTAACAGGTGGTGGGTACTTTCCTTATCAGCCTCAGCCCAGTTCTTTCCAAGACTACATACCAGAAAGGGCTGATTCTTGCTGAGGAGCCTAGAGCCATTGTAGGAAACGTGTTGGAAGTATCCTTGTATACCTCCAACCCCTCACAATAAATCAGGATATCAGTGAATGTCTGATTTCCTCTTATACAGCTGGAAGAGGAAACCAGCTCATGTTTATAGAGCTTTTCTTTTGACCTTCACCTTTCTTTATGGAAATGCTTTTCTTTAGTATAAAAGGCAGGCTTTTTTATTACTAAAAGAGTAAAATTCACCTTTAATTCTAGCACTTAGAAGGCAGAAGCATACAAAGCTCTGTGAGTTCAAGGCCAACCCAGTCTACATAGCGAGATCCAGACCAGCCAGGGCTACATAGTGAGACCCTATCTTCGAAAAACAGAACAAGGGCTGGAGAGATGGCTTAGCAGTTAAGAGCACTGGCTGCTCTCGCAGAGGACCTGGGTTCTGTTTTCAGTACCCAGATTGCAGTTAACAATTGTCCGTAGCTCCAGTTCCAGGGAATCTGATGCCCTCTCCTGACCTCAGGCATTGCACGACACAAGTGCACTTAAACACATGCAGGCAATACACTCATACACATAAAATTAAAAATTAAAATCAGAACAAACAGTAAAATTTATCAAAAGAATGCATAAAGTAGAAATTGTCTGAGTCTCAGCTGGTGGAAGTGACCACTTGTAGCTGTTGTATTGCAATAGCTAAAATTGCAGATGTTCAACTATTTACTCATAAAAGCAGTAATTTGATATTTTATTGGTTCAACTTAATCATCTAGTAATATATTATTAGTTTTATGCACACACATTCTTTCAGGCATGGAGTTTAGGCATACTGTTTTTATTACTTATTTTACTTAATCTCTTCTGAATATCTTTTTCTACTTCAATCCTAAATGTCTGCATTGTATGCTGTTGTAAGAATGTGCCATTGTATTGGTCAGGGTTCCTCAGAGAAACAGAACTTGTAGGAGGGAGGGAGAGAGGGAGAGAGGAAAGAAGAAGGGGTGGAGAATGCTTTTTATAAGGAAGTCATCTATAAGGTGGAGACCCAGGAGGATGCCAGTGGTATAATTCATTTGGAGTCTGAAGGCTTAAGAACCAAGGGGGCTGATGGTAGAAACCCAGGGTGATGTCAGGGTCCTTCACATGAGGTATCCCAGCTCAAACAAGGTGATGAGGAAGCAAAAGAAGTAAATTCCTCCTTTGCCTTTTTGTTCTCTTCAAGCCTTACTGGATTGGAGGATGTCCGTCAGCAGTGAGGAGGGCAGTCCGCTACTGAGCTTACTAATTTATATGCTAATCTCATCTGGAAAAACTCACATACCTACATCCAGAAATAATGTTTAATGTGGACCAGGTAGAATTACATATAAAATTAGCCATCACAGCCATAACGTAAGCAGCTTTCTACCTTAGTTAGCATTTGAGATGGACCCTATTTCCCATCATGTACTGAATATCTTTGTATAAAGGCGTATTTTTCTCCTCTTCCTTCTTTGGGTTCCCATTTTGCTGCATGCAATCTGCATCATGATTTTCCTCCATTCAGACAGTATGGCATAGAAGAGCACAAGCTCTAGATTCAGGTTCTGGCTTCAAATTCCAGTTGCACCCTTAGTGTGTAATCTTGAGCAAGTCAGTGCTTAATCTCTCTGAGCCTCCATTTTCACATCTACAAATATTGCATTAATAATTCTTTATGGGTTGTTGTAAGGGTGGATCAATGGATGTGAAATTATGAAGATTAACAAGTCTGTGATGGACTTATCATTTGGCAGACAGTAAATCCTCACTGAATATAAACTGTACCTAATGATTATGATTCTTCATATTGTTATTCTCACTCAGATTCATCTGCCTCCAATGGGTCTCACCCCACTACGAGGTCGGAGACTTCGAACCCAGGAGAAACTGAGGAAACTTTCCAAACCAGTATATCTCAAGTCTCATGATGAAGTTTCCTAATATGGAAGAAAGTTTATTTGGGGTAACAATGAGCCAACTTGGTTTTGAATGTAAACCAGGTAACATACCCTTCTTCTTGATGAGGGGCAAAAATATTTTCTTCCGACTTCTAGAATTGGTCCTTACCCATAACACACGTCTGCAAACATCCTGAGAGTTTGTCAGGGTCTTGCTGCCTGAACCAATGACATTACCCCTAAAGACTGTGGACTTAGACCTTCACTGAAGTCACCTTTGGAAACAAGGTGTGTGTAAGGAAGACTGGGCATTAAAGCCTTTTGTTGGACCGCCATTTACCACACATCAGCTGACACAAAGAAATTAGCTGGTTGCTAGAAGTTCATGTAGCTACAATATTATGTGCTGCGCTCAAAATACTTTCTGGAGGATTTTTCACGTGTTACTGATTTGCTTTAAAGTGGGTTTCTGTATATCCTTTTTTGTGGTCTTTTGAACCTTGTACTTTCCAAATATTCCTTATAAAGTGCATCTTTTGTTTTGGGGCAGGGGGTTGGGGTTTTTTGTCTGTTTGTTTTTAAGACCAGGTCTCCCTGTAGCCACAGCTGGCCTGGAACTCACTGTAGACCAGCTGGCCTCTATCTCACAGAGATCTGCCTTTCCTTCCCAAGTGCTGGGATTAAAGGTCTACGCCACTACACCCTGTCTATAAAGTACATCTTTTGTTTTGTTTATAGGTCTTGGGGATTTGTTAGTTTTATTGGGTGGGGCCTTGTTTTGAGACATAATTTTCTCTGTAGCACTGACTGACCTGGAACTTGCATTGATCCTTCTGCCTCAGCCTCTAAAGTACTTGGATTATAGGCATGAGCTACCACACCCAGCTGATCCCATGTTAATTTTTCTTATGGAAATATTATATGACACTCTTCTTCCTATGGATACATGGATAAATACATGGAAATACATGCCTTAGTTAAATGTATATGTTTGTTTACCTTATATTAAAGCCTGTGATTACATAAGATGCACTTAGGAACCAAAAAGCTCCCTTGAAATTTATACTGCATTCTTTGTGTTTTGCCCAATTTAAAAGTACAAGGTCTGAGCTGGCTCCAAGTTATATCCAAACAGAAAAGGAACAAAGAGCGTATTGGTGTCAGGTGAGAGTTGACAGCATTTGTCCACACAGTGTTGTTGTCTCTTAACTCCAAAGAGAATGGTTATCATTAATAAAGAGAAATCCCTACCAATTTTGGCCTCTTTGCGTTCTTTTCCAAAATGTGCTTGTGTCCCTCAGAAACAGCAGGTGGACAAGCCTGCTATGAGCAGGAGCATACTTTTCATTTTGGGGCTAAGTATTGCAGGGTTTGGCAATGATCTGGAAAACAAATTAGATCCTGTTAGTAGTGGAGTAATAAATAGCATAAGCATATTTAGCACATTTATGTATATTTAGACCTATGCAGTGATAGGTCTTGGTAAAGAGAGAAATGTTAGTGTACTGACAGGTAATTGGCTATTCTGTGGCTATTCAATGTGGACACACAGGCTAGCTTGACCAGGGAGGAAGGAGTCTCCCATTCTTTCCAACAGGTCTCAGTGTAGAAGCTTTTCCTTGATGGAGGATGGTCTCATGTTTAAGTGTCTCTCATGCATCATATGACATGTGAACTCAAGCAACCTAACTTCATCTGGTGATCTGCTGGTGGAACAGTGACCCATTCCTGCAGTGAAGGAAAAATTGGCTGTGCTGGACAAAGTGATACACTACTTGATGCCCTTCTCCATCATGGTCCCTTTCTAAGTGACCCAAGGAGACAAAATGATTTTGACTATGTGCAGTTTTGCTCTACTGTATTGATCACTAGGAACTACCCTTCCCACCCAGTCTTTTCCACAGTGGAAGACCATTTAATTGCTAAGCCAACCTTTGAGGATCTTCTACATGACAAGAATCTTTAATGTGAATCTTATGTCTAGCAAAAATATATATACTATTCAAAAACACCAATTTGCTGTCAAACTGTATAATGTCTTGAGTGATTGATACTGAGAGAGGGCTCCCTATGTAACTCGGGCTGGCCTTGATTGAACTCAAGATCCTCCTGCCTGTCTGTCAAATATTGGTATTACAGTTGTGCAACTCCATACCTGTAACTTATGTTACTTACGTCTTACTCTGTATTAGTTTCTCTAGAGGAACAGAACTGGCAGCATGAATGAACATTAAAACCAACCATCACGGGTCAGGCATGGTGGTGCACACCTTTAATCCCAGCACTTGGGAGGCAGAGGCAGGCAGGTCTCTGTGAGTTCAAGGCCAGTGAGTTCCAGTGGCTACAGGGAGACCCTGTCTCAAAAAGACCAAATAAAAACAAAACCAACCATCACCATCGCATGCTTAATTCTGCCCCACCCCCGCCATTGTCTCTCCAAGACTATAAAAGACTCATCTGTCTCCTAAAGGCAGAACCTAACCTTCCTTACATCCTTGATATAATTTTTCTACTACTAAGAATTAATGAACACAACTAGTCAACAGCTATGGTTTTGTTTGTTTGAGATAGGATCTCAGTATGTAGCCCTGGCTGACGTGGAACCCTTAGCCTTGAACTCATAGGCTCCTCCTACTTCTACCTCTTCAGTGCTGAAATGCATGTCACCATGCCCAGCCCCAGCTAGATTTATCAAGAGCAAGGATTAGCTTGATGATCAGGTTTGTCTGATAGCTATGCTGAGCTATTTATAAGCAGAGCCTGCTGCTGTTCGTAGAGCTGATCTCTGGCAATCTCTGCCCCAGAACTCCAGCCTCTAGCTCACCATGATTTCAGAAGAACATGTTGCTTGTTCCCAAGAGGAAACATCATTACCACATTGGCCCCAATTGAAAGTGACCTCAAGTTTAGGGCAATCCTTGTTTTCAAAGTGGAGGAAATGTCTTAAATTTCAAAAATGTAATCCATCATGCAAAAACATTCTGTCCCTTGATCTCTGAAGGATGAGACAGCCCTTGCCTGCCTCAGCTTCTCAGTACTAAAGCTAGAGTTCGATAACTAATGAAAATTGAGTTGTTCTCTTAGCAGGCCCCTCATGGCAGCTTTTCTGCAGCTTGTAATATGACTTACCTATCAGTTCCAAAGTCATGGGTTTGGGATCCTGACAGTCTGTCTCACATGCCTAATCATCTCATCTAGGATGACACAGCAGCCCCGCCTACCTTCATTCTGTTGACCGCCACACTGGAAAAGGTCATATTTCTGTCTTGAAATAGCTAGTTAGCTACCTACGTTGAGTAGACTAGTTCCTCACTGGCTCTGTTCACGTGCTTAATCTCTCTGGGCACTCGGATACTTGCTTACCTCTGAATTCAGAGTCCTCAATCAAAATATTGTTGGCACCATGAAGAAATTGGAACTGAAGTTTTCCAGAGTACCTTTATTTGGTTCTCAGAAACTTGCCACATTCAGGAAAAATAAAGGCCCCGAGTCAGGACCTTCTAGTGAAGAGGCAGAAAAGATACACCAGACACACTAAGACTCAATAAACCTTCTGTCTGCTCAGCTGTGAACCTAGAGTAGCGCTACTTAGAGCCAAAGAGCTGCACGAGAGTCAGGTAAGAATACATCAGGAATTTGGCTCTTTGTGTCTCCCTCTGGATTTTCTGGGGAGAAACAAATGATGGAAATTTCTTGGACATAGTCATGTGGCTGGAACTACAGATCTCTTCCAAGAGTCTACATCAGAACATGGGAGCAAGTCCTTGATGAGGGAGGCAGCATGTTTCAGTGAAAAATACAGGAATTCAAGAGCCAGAAAACCACCTAGCTGTGCAACGTGAACGCTGTGTGCTGGTCTTCCACAAGTTCTCTGATCTCCCTGAGCCTCTGGGGGAGGAGCAGGGAGAAGGTGGAGCTCACCATACAGGGCCAAGCAAACCAGCTAAAGGCATAGGCACAAACCCTGGCACACAATAGGCAGGCAATAAATATGCTCTTCTCAAGCTCTCCTTCCTGGGTTTTTAGCCCATTTGTGTGACTTCTAGAGAAGCAACTGGAGTTGATGGGCCTGTATCTCAGTGGTAGAGCACTTGCCTACAGTGCTCAAGGCTCTGGGTTCAACCTTACCACAAGAAGCAATTGAGTTCCAGTTCTACCATTGACTAACTGGACCTCTGCATCTGTAAAGTGGAGATGATGATAATCCCCACCTACCACCTAAGATTGTTGTAAGAGGTGCATTTAAAATAGACCAAGAAGGGTTGGGAAGATGGGAAGTGACCAAGAGTGTATACTATTCTTACAGACCACCCAAGTTCAGTTCCCTGTATCTATGTCAAGGAGCTCACAGCTCACAACCACCTGTAACTCTAGCTCCGTGGGATCGAAAATCCTCTTCTAACCTCTGTAAGAACCTGTATTCATGTGTATTCTCTGTCTCTCTCTCTGTCTCTCTCTCTGTCTGTCTGTCTCTCTCTCTCTCTCTCTCTCTCTCTCTCTCTCTCTCTCTCTCTCTCACACACACACACACACACACACACACAAAATAAAAATATAAAATACACTGAGAGCCTTAACAAAGAAAATCATCCAGGCCCATCTCAACCTCTAATGAGGTCTTAATGACTGCATGAGTGGACAGGTCAGGAAAAGAAGATTGAAATTCATTGACAGTTAGAGCAAAATCTAAATAGATAAAGAAAATAACCACAAGAGAGTTTAAGCCAGATGACTACAAGCTTCTAGGTAGAGTCCCACTGCTGTGTTCAAATTCAGTAGCTATCTGATTTGGGAATGTCACTAACCTTTTCTGTATCAGGGTTTCTACATCCATAAAATGAGAATAATAATAAGTAATAATAATGACCTACTTTATAGGACTGCTGTGAAATATCTGGCTAATAACAATTGCTCCATTGGTATTTCATCATCATCATCATCATCATCATCATCATCACCACCACACTATATGATGCTCAAGAAAAGAAAGCTAGGTTCTAGTGAAGAATGAAATGTCATTTACTCTTTGCTTTGAGACCCCTATCATCAGTTATCCAGCTGGCACAGTGAGGCCACCCCTCTGTTTATCCAGTGCTTCTCGGGCATGTCTGTCGGGAGCTCAATGGAGAGCACATAGTTAGTCGAGTGGCCTGTGGTAGAGAGGGTACCTCTTCGGGCACTTGTTTTATACACTGGACACACATAAATGTTGTGATGCAGGAACGATGCGCTTTCCCCAGGTTTCAGCCAAATGATGGGCAATGGGTCATAGAGGATTTTGGGGAGAGACTCTCCAATCTGCATTGCTTTCCTGTCCCAGCGGGCACCTTCGAGGAAAAGTCCTTTGATGTAGGCCCCATCTTCTGGGCTATTCTCCATGGTCGTTTCTTGTGTGGTTACCTGGAAGAGTGGAAAGCTGTGAGCTCCTCAACCTGCCATTTCCCCACACATAGTGCCAATTTGAGCAACCTGCCTGCAATGTCTGCCTCTACTAAGAGGCATCTCAGAGGACACAGGGGACTCAGTAATAACACTTCTGCCTATCATATGTGAACCAAATCTGGTTCTGAGACAGCTACTCTTACATGTGGTGGGCACAGAGAAGGAATAAAGCAGGAGCCAGGCAGCCACACAGACCATCGTTTAATGACCTTGCATAATCTCTTCCCTTTGGGACCTGAATCGGAAATGAGGGGTTAGTTCTGATTCAGAGGCAGGCTGATGAAACAGTTCTGGGAGCAGAGGTGAAATGGAAGAATAAATCCTTGCTTTATAGTTTTTATCAATTTCTGTGGTGTAAAAACTCATCCCATGTTTGATTTCAGGCTACCAACTATGAAACAGTTCACAGAATACCTGAAAATATCAGGGCTGACTCTGGTGAGCTAATGTGATAATTAGCTGTTGGGTTTTTTTTTAATTGAATTTTTGTGCATTTCATACATCTTTTTTGGTTGCTGTTGTTGTCTTTTTGAGATAAGGTCTCCCAGTAACTCCAGCTGGCCTGGATCTGGCTATGTAGACCAGGCTGGACTTAAACTCACAGAGATCTGCCTGCCCACAGTGCTGGGACTAAGGGTGTGCACCACCACCATACATCTTAATCATATTTTCTAATGTCAACTTGCCACAACCCAGAATCACCTGGGGAAAGAGTCTCAGTGAGGCATTGTCTACAGTGGGTTGGCTCCTGGGCATGTCAATGAGGGATGGTCTTAATTGTGATGGGAAGATCTACCCTAAATGTGTAGGATACCATTTAATGGATTGGGTGCTGGACTGTATAAGAATACAGAAAGCAAGCAAGGATTCATTTGTTTCTCTCTGCTCTTGATCTGTGGATGTGATGCTTCTAAGTTCCTACTTTGACTTCTCTACAATAATGGACTATAGTGGGGAATTGTAAGCCAATAAACCCTTCCTCCTCTTAAGTTGCTTTTGGTCAGGGTGTTTGGTCACAGCAATGGAAATGAAACTAGAGCCTTGGTGTGTGAGCTCCGGCATCCCACTGTTTACATGGAGAAATGATAAACTTAGATTCCTTCTGGGAAAGCAGAAAATGGTTTAGGTGTCGAATAGCAGGGAGTGGTGGGGATTATGAAGAAAGAACCAGAGCTGCAAGTTTCCTTTAACACAATTCTAACTCTAATTTTTGTTATGAATAGAATGGTTTTCCCTTCCTAAGGACTATTCAAGGGCATGAACATTCTTCCAAACTAAGGTACAGAACAGACAGCATGGGAGAATGCTTTCGTTTTTCTTGACATGATGGTAGCAGAATTTTCCTCTGGAAAGATACATTAAAAAATATTTATTCTTAGCTGGGCGTGGTGGCACATGCCTTTAGTCCCAGCACTCTGGAGGCAAAGGCAGGCAGATTTCTGAGAGTTCAAGGCCAGACTGGTCTGCTTAGTGAGTTCCAGGCCAGCTGGGGCTACAGGGAGACCCTTTCTCAAAAAGACCAAAAAATAAAAATTTATTCTTGTGTGTGTATACATCATGTGTGTGTGTGTGAATACATGGAGGTCAAAGGGCAACTCTGTTGAGTCAGCTCTCTCTTCTCCTTTGTGTGGGTTCTAGGAATCAAACTTAGGTTGCCAGGTTTGCATGGCAAACCCCTTTGCCTACTGAATCATCTCTCATTAGCCCCAAATTGTTTTTATATGCATAGAAACAAGGACTTTGGTATACTCTGATTATGTAGAGAATAGCATTTGGAGCTACAGTAGATCATGTGAAATTCTTCATTTGTGCCATCTCAGAAGTATTTGTTCCTTCATAACCAAATATTTACACTTAGAAGGAAATGGCCAATACCATTTTCTCAGGTTGGTCCCTTAAGCTGTCCTAACCTACAGCATCCTACCTCAAATTCAAATCCGATGTAGTCGATAGGGATGGTATATTTCCTGGCATAATTCTGAAAGATGCCAGTCAAAAAAGACTGTGTGAAGTAGAATCCAGAGATCCAAAACACTACAGGGGACCCCTTGTCGATCCATTCCTGCATAGCCATAGAAATAAAAATTCAGAATCTACAATGCATCAACAATAAGTTAAACTAAAGCGAGCATAGGGGTGGAGAGACGGCTTAGTGGGTAGGAGAACCTGCTGCTCCTGTTGAGGGTCAGAGTTCAATTCTCAACCCCCATATCAGGCAACTCACAGCCACCTGTAATAGCAACTCCAGAGGATCTGATGCCCCCTTTTGTCCTCTGCTGGCACTCACACAGACGTGAGCATATAGGCACACAGACAAAATAAATCTTAAAAAATGCTAAGACAAGCAATATAAATGAGCCTCACGAACAAATGTTTTCTCATTTTTCTTGCAACAAATAGCCTTCTTGGTTTCACATCTACATTCCCATGTTTGAAATGAAGGTGCAAAAGATGTATTTCTACTTTAAGCATAGGTCCAGGCTGATGTTGGGGACACAGAAGTGGTAGCAGGACGTGTGTCTCCTTTGAGCAGTGGCCACCCCAGTCTAGCAGCAGTTGGCATGCACAAACACAGGCAGGCACATTATTTCACGTTTTCTACTTTCTGCAGGACAAACATCTAAATTCCACCCCCCTCCTTTTTTGTTTATGTTTCTCATGCTAGAGTTAAGTTTAGAACATCCCACATGCTAGGCAAGTGCTCTACCATGGAGCTATACCCCAACTCCTATGTGTAAAAACCCAGTGTTTAACTCAAAGCATTTCAAATTACCAAGCAGCCAAACAAGTATATCCATTGGCTAGTTTTGTCCCATAGGCTTCCAGTTTGTGACATTTATTCCAGCTCTTACTCCTGCCTCCACCAATTAATATTTCTAAGAATCTGAAAAGTCTCTCCCCTGACCCAACTCTGGAAAGACCATTTTTCAAATGGCCACTCCAAGATGACACATGGATACCTACCCTCCTTCTCTACCTCTATTCTGTTATCTAAGAGAGTATTCTTCACTTGAGTGAGCACACCAGGCATCCAGTTACCCAGACTCCCACGTACCTGGAAGAAGATCAATCGGGCCAATAGGTCAGCCACATAGCCCCCTAGGGGCTTCAGTGATGGGTAGGACTTGGCTGCCCACATAGCTGGCACTTTACCCACAAGCATGCTATTGAAGACTTCCTCCAGCTCTGAGGACATCAAGACCTGCCCTTTGATGGCTCGGCCAAGATCGATAAGACTTCTGCGAACCACTTTGGTCAGCCTGTAAGAATAAAGGAGGAGGCTCAGCTTGGCTTTCCAGTGTAGCCTCCTGCCCAAGTGTACCAAACGCCAGCTGTCCTTTTATCTTTCCCCCTTTCAAAGGTCACACAGTAAATACACAACCATTGAGAGGACGATGAAACCACCCATTACAATACTACCTAAAAATAATTTGATGTATATCTTTCTTGTTTTCTTTGGAGAAACATTTTTTTAAATGAGGTCATCCTGTATTACCTTTTTAAATCTGTTTTTTTTTTTTTTTCTCTCTTAGCACACAGGGAAATCTTTCCAAGTTAATGAGTCATGCCTCAGCCTCTCTAGTGCCGGAATGACAGGCATGTGCTACCACAACCCAGTTCTAAATTGTTCTGTTGTTGTTGTTGTTGTTTTGTGTGTGTGTGTGTGTGTGTGTGTGTGTGTGGTGTGTCTATACACATTCATGTGAGTGTGCATACCTGTGCAGATGTTGGCTTCGGGTGTCTTCCTCTATCACACTTCATTAATTGGGGGGGGTATTTTGTTTTGTTTTGCTTTCTTTTTTTGAGACAGGGTCTCACTAGGTGGTATAGACCATATTGGCCTTGAACTCACAGAGATCTATCTGCCTGTCTGGATTAAAGGCATGCACCACCACACCCAGCATCCACCTTAAGTTTTGAGATAGGGTCCCTCATTGAACCTGGAACTCACTATTTTGGCTAGACTGGTTGGTTGTTGAGCACAGGGAATATCTGCTTCCCTGTGTTGGGATTTCAGGCATGAATTGACATGCCCAGCTTTTATGTGGGTGCTAGTGACCCAAATACAGGTCCCAGTGCTTACATAGCAAGTACTTTACTCACTGAGTTCTCTCCACAGACCGTAATCTGTCTTTTTTAATGACTGTACAACATTCCATTTTATTCAACTATTCCTCTACTGTTGAGATGTTTGTATATTTTTGTCATTTACAAACAGCATCCATCTTGTACATCTTGCTCCATCTTTGTACAACTTTCTAATGACTTTTTTAATAAATGAATTTTTTGATCAAAGAATACCTATAGTTTTGAAACTTTTGATCCATATTGCCAAAGTAGCTCTTTTTATAGACTATGAGGCATATACCTTGAAAAAGCAGCCGACAAGCTGCCAAAACCACCTGCCTCTTTCTGGCTTCTATACTCTGAGGCCTGGCTCAGCCCAGAGGGAGTTCACCTGAGTGTGCCAAATAGTCTGCTGCCAGAAAGAGCTTGAAGACTCTCAACCCAGTGAGCAAGAGTATGATCAAAAGCAAAAAAGAGCAATTCCTGCATGTGTAGCCACTGAATTTGATATCAGAAGGAATTTAAGATTTAGACATCAGGTGCACGTGCTCATCAAGGGCAAAACTGTCACCAAGGGACTGTATCACAGATCTCTCTCTACCATACCTCAAAAACCTTCCTTTTTAAAATTAAATTCAATTTTTTTTACTATTTTTCTATTCTATTCTGTGGTATCCTGTTATTCTATGCTGTTCTTACAACTATAAACTAGTTTCAAGGTTTTAGTACCTAAGGAACACTTGCTCCACAATACACAGTGATGGGCCCCTGAATCAAAAGCTAAACTGCTGCCTACCCATTTTGAAGTCCCATGTCACTGGATGGACAGAAATAGGTAATGGGGAGGGACTGTAGCATACTGCTGAAATGGAGATTATTGTTAGCCTGTCCTCTGGGACTGTAACAGTCAGTTGTAAAGGTTATAAGGCCCTTGCAGCCACCAAGGGCTCCAGTGGCCTGAGGGGAGACTGAGTAAGTCAGTGAGAAGCCGTTAGAGTAGGTGTCCGGATGAATGAGGACTTGAAGCTCATCATGCCAAGTGTTCTTGTCTGTAAACTGGAGGTGGAAATGGATAGCTGTGTATGTCTCACTAGCTGCATGGTTCCAGTGAGAACATGAATAGTGTATGGAGCCATATCTAACACTAGAGGCTCAATAAAAGTATCTTTGATGACCACTTCTACTATTAGCCTATACTTGGTATTGGTTTGAACTTGATAGGTGTCACATGAATAAGAATGAATGGGAGAACCTGGAGCTGTGGTCCCCTCTCATAAACCTGGGCTGTGATCCCCTCCTATGACCTGAAGGTGTGGTCCCCAACAGTGAGTCACAGCTCCACATTCCTCCGATAGTGGGCTGATGGTAGAGCAGTTAGGACGATGGAGGTCTTCTTGATGTTGGGCAGCAGTTTTAGCCTTCTCTGAGTGGCTGTATTCCCCACAAACCCCTTCCCCGAGGTCCCAGGTTGTGCATGACAGTGACTTATGCTGGGTGGACCTTATGCTGGGTCAGGGAGGTTTCTATGATTTGAAGATTCTAGTCTCGAGGGGGAACTGAGTATCAAGAATGAACTTCCCACCTCCCTTGATGGTCCACTGAGGTCTTGACTCCACACCTGGTCCTGGGTACCCAGGCCTTGACATTGGACCTTTTCAATTCCTGGTACCAGGAGGTTTCCCATCATTTTTCTATTACTTTTCTACAGCCCCAGTGTGCCTTCACCTGTGCCCTACAGAAAGTGTAAAGCACCTAACTTCTAGAGATAAAATCACAATCTGGGAAATAAAAGTAAATTAAAAAATAATTTTAAAAAAGCCAGGTGTGGTAGCACACACACCTCTAATTCCAGCACTCAGCAGGCAGAGGAAGGCAAGTCCAGCCTGGTCTACATAGTCGGTTCCTAGGGCTAAAGGGAGACCCTGTCTCAAAAAGACAGTAATAATAAAGATAGTAATTTTTTTAAAAAGGATCAGTGGGAGTGACTTAATGCTTGGCCAACACATGTTGCGGTCAGCCCGTTTATAGCTCTCTCCATGGGTAGGGCTACCACTTTCTCTTCATAACACCTTATCAAGTGTCCCTCTCAGCTCCCAAGATCCAAGCAAGATCATCTGGCCCACCTGTTGAACCTGATGAGCTCCTGCCTTAGGACGGTGTTCATAGATTCATTGTAGACCACGGGGTACAACTTCACCACGTCTTCCAGGTTGAAATCCTTGGGAAGCTTAGAGAGTATGTCCTGGGCCAATTCCTCAACCACTTCCTTCAAGTGCAGACAACAGATGGGAATGAAAAATAAGATGAGCACATAGGGGGCTTTATCTGGGAAGACAATGTAGTAAGCATCTGTGCCACTGAACCTTGCTGGGAACTCTCCCACAGAAACCAGTTCTGCCCCTGGTGGGAAGGAGAGTACTCATCAACCCACCATCCTTGGAGAGGACATGATTCCTTTGCCCAGAAAGTGAAAATGCTGAGCACTGACAGTCAGTCCTGTCCTCACAGCTGGGGCAATAAATAGCCTGAAGGTCAAGCAGGGCTTAGTCAGGTAGCCTTAAGGCAGCACAGACCACTAACTTGAAAGTCACTCCTGAGTGAGAATCCCCCAGTTGGCTCCTTAAGACCAGCCTCTGGCACAGATGGAACTCTTTCTCAATGCCAGTGACACTTAGGAAGGTAGTAGGTCAATCCTTAGCATTGAGCAAGGCAAGCTCATGGCACTGGGCCTAGCCAAGTAGGGAAGGGGACAGACTCAGAAGACTAAAGAGGAATAGATTGTGAATGTGGGCGAGCCAGATGACCCTCATCCTGTGGGACTGGAAGGCTGGAAAGCAGCTACTGCTACGTTAGGACACACCAACCAGGCTAGCATAGCTTCATACCAATTACCACTTATGGTGCTATGAACCAAATCAACAAGATTTGAACCAGGCAGCTCAGAAGGCAGAGGAGGGAAGGGCAGGGTGGGGTGATAAAATCAGACAGGGGACTCGGTTCTGGTTCTGGCTTTCCTGGTGATTTTATGAAGGACATGAAGCTGGTAAGTTACTTCTCTGCGGGCTCATTTCCCTATCACTTATAGACCAAATAGGGTAAACTTGGCCAAGTGCTTCACAAAGTGTGCACCAGGACCACTAAAAGTACCTGGAACAATTGTAGTTGTTTCCAGAACACAGAATAAAGTGTGCTAAATTACATGGTGAGAAAATTACTCTTTCAAGTTTTGTTTTGTTTGTCTTTTTGAGACAGGGTCTCTCTGTAGCCCCAGCTGGCCTGGAACTCTCTATGTAGACCAGGCTGGTCTCAAACTCACAAAGATTTGCCTGCTTCTGCCTCCCAAGTGCTAGGATTAAAGGCATGTGCTACCACACCCAGTACTTTCAAGTTTTAATCATCTTTCTCTTTTGATTCCTCTCAAGCAGGTCTTAGATTAATGCTAATTTGCCAATTCTTCAACACTTTACAACTGATCTTCCTCCAGGCCTTTGGCAAGCATATATCATCTGGAAAGAACTTAAAAATATGTCTTCCTGGGGCTGGAGAGATGGCTCAGTGGTTAAGAACACTGACTGTTCTTGCGGAAGACCCAGGTTCGAATCCCAGCACCCATATGGCAGCTAACAACTGTCCGTAACTCCAGTTCCAGGGGATCCGACAGCCTCTTCTGATTTCCGCGGGCATTGCACGACACAGGTGCACTTACCCACATGCAGGCAATACACGCATACACATACAATAAAATTTTTGAAAAATGTCTTCCTCTCCTCTTCCCTCCTTCCCTCCCTCCCTCCTTTCTTCCTTTCCTTTCCCTCCCCTTCCCCTTTTCCCTCTTCTCCCCCCTTCTGCCTTTCCCCACCCTCCCTCCCACTCCTACAGGAACAGGAGAAAAAGAAGGAAGTTACTGGTACAAACCAACCCTTCTTTTTTTCTCCTGTTCTTATCACTACATTATAGAAATATTAGGTCTCCACTTATAGTTCTGATTTTCAGTTTTTAAAATAAGTATTTCTAGGCAAAATATATTTAGCTTTTAAATATAAAAATGGAGGAGGGTGGGTCTCAACCTCCATTGGTGTAGCAGCTCTGATCTCAGCAGACAGCCAGAGAGTGCCAAGTTCTGGCCTCCCTCTGGCAGAGGGCTGAGAATGCAGGGGACTGCCTGAGAGCCCCTGGATCCTGCTTCCATGTGGTGAAGCCTTTTAGAGAGAACTGACACTGATTCTAACCACTCTAACAGCTATCAAAATGCCTGAAAGTAAATCCTGAATCCATCACTCTCAAGTCCAGCCTTGGCAGATTAAAAAAACAAAAACAAAAACAAAAAACGAGGAGGAACCCAACAAAGGGATGCTTCTGGAAGCCCTTGTCAAGAAATTCCAATGGACTCTCATACGAACATTTGAAAACTGCCCTGTTCTTACTTTTTACTAGTTCCCTGTCTAGAACTTGTAATGCTAACTACTCTTGCCTTTACTTCTCCTTCACATCTCTTATTCATGATTCAAGGTTAAAAAAAAAATACAATGGAGAAGCTGGGTGGTGGCACACACCTTAAATCCCAACACCCAGGAGGCAGAGGCAGGCAGATCTCTGTGGGTTTGAGGCCAGCTTGGTCTACATAGTGAGTTCCAGGTCAGCTGGGGCTACAGGGAGACCCTGTAAAAAAAAAAAAAAAAAAGAGGTAGGAATTGGCTAGGCAGTTAGGGCAAAAAGACTTCAAAGAAAAGCAGCCAGTTTCTTAGATAAAAGTCATAATGTCCTTGGGCTGCTTAGCAACATACTCTGTTCCAAAGGCCAAAAATGTCAAAAGAATTTGGGAGCTCTTATCTAATCCCTAAAAGATTTTAGGGTTACCTCTTCAGAGGGGGGAACATTAGAGTAGCAAAAAGCCCCCCAAAAAAAAAAAGAAAGAAAGAGTACATGAAGGTTGTCAGAAAAAAGTGATGGGGAGATATGGGAGGAGTTGGAGAGGAGGGAGTGGGGATGGATTTGATACCTTATATGCATGTATGAAATTCTCAATAAATTATTTATTTAAAAAATATATAAAAATAGCTGGGCATGGTGGCACACAGCTGTAGTCCCAGCACTCGGGAGGCAGAGACAGGTGGATCTCTGTGAGTTCAAGGCCTGCCTGGTCTACATAGTGAGTTCCAGGCCAGCTGGGGCTGCAAGGAGACCTGTCTCAAAAAGACAAAAAAAAACCCCCATATATATATATATATATATACACACATATATATGGAGCATGAGTGATATATGATTTAAAAAATTATGAAAGTTATATAGGAAAAACTGGCATTTTGGAAGCTCTGGTTCCCCTTTTGCTCTATATTTAAGGACTATGGCAGAAGGATCAGAGCACCCAGCCTTGCTCAAGGACATGGCCTCTACTTTCCTGCCTTCCTGGCTGCCACCCATGCTCCTGCATGCCTACTAGATGGAAATCTGGTTACCTGAGGGGACTTGCCACTCCCTCCCGACTGTCTCGGGAGGGTCAGCAGCACCCCTTGGAAGAGTTGATTGGTTTCCTGGTTGTCTTTGGTGATGTCAGCATTCTCGTGGAGGCCAAATACCTCTGGGTGCGCTGTGATAGGGAGGGTCCTGAGATAGTCGATGTAGGTCTGAAAAGAGATTCTTCAGTTGACACCAACACAGGGCCCCTCAGGGCCTACAGATGACTCAGAGTTTGGCCAAGCCCATCTCAAAACTAGGTAGCGCTGTCCCCACTGCCCATTCTGGCCAGGTGAATACACCACAAGCTCTTCCTCATGCAGTTTTCTGGAGACCATCAAAAGTAGATGGGTTGAGTAGCTTTGCTCCCACCCCTGGCTTTATTCCTGTTGCTAAGTAGTCTTGGCTTTACAGTTACATAGAACTAGGTTTGGATCTTAGTTCAGTTGCAAACTAACTGTAACTTTCAGCCAGTCATCTGAAACCTCAGTTCCCTTACGTGAAAATGGGAGGAAATGAGGCTATCAAGGAATAGGGCACATGAGGCAGTTAATATGAGTGAGGTCTTTATCTTATTTCCCTATCTAGTTTTTCTAGCCTTGGCCCTCTCCTTTGGACTGTTTTTTTTTTGAGTCAGGCTCTCCCTACGCAGCCCAAGGTGGCCTCATATTCACAATTGTTCTGTGTCAGCCATTAAGTGCTAGAATTATGGGCATGTCCCAGCTCTTCTTTTGTCACCTTTTGAACGTTTGTAAATAGCAATTATCAACCTGTTCACTACTAAGCTGTGTGTGTGTGTGTGTGTGTGTGTGTGTGTGTGTGTATACAGGCATGTACATGCCACTGAGTACATGTGGAGGTCAGATAACAACCTCGGCTGTTGGTTCTCATCTTCCACCTTGTTTGAGGCAGGTTCTCTTGTTTGTCACCATGTATGCCAGGGTAGCTGGTCCACAAGCTTCCAGAGACTCTCCTGCCTGTGCATCTATCTTGCCATAGGTGTGTTGGGATTACAGATGTATACTACCACATCCAAATTTATGTGGGTTCCAGTGATCCAAACTCTGGTCTTCACGCTTGTGTGGCAGGTACTTTATCCACAGAACCGTCTCTGCAGTCCCCAAGGCTTCATCTTAACCATCCCTCTCTCCATACTACTATCCCAGACAGACCTAGTATTTTTAATTCAAATACTCAGAATTCATTAAATAGTAGCAATGTCTCTCTTGAAAGCTCTTTGTAATATTAAGAAGAGCTTATGGCCCCCAGTAAGGAAGCCAAACACCTGGGCTTTCCTTGGAAACACTGTGGCCCCCAGTTATATGGAGACTACTGAGCCCCCCTGGGAATAAAGGTGGGACATCCTTTACCTGGTAGGGGCCATGGGGAGGGATGTAGTAAGTCTGTCCAGGAGCAATGTAGTAATGATCATTCTCAATTTCCTTACAGTAGAATGTGGACAGAAGGGACAGCAGGAGACGCCTATCTTTGTCATCAGTCACTCTTCCTCCATAATTACATTCCCCTAGGGACAATGGACAAGGGTGGAGGTTAACATAAGGAAAATCATCATGATCTCAGTCATTAGCTTCAAGTAGGGGTTTCGTCCAGCCAAGGAGCACTGTCAGAACACAAGTGGTCAGAGGACACAGGGCTGCTGGCACCATATTCAGCATAGGAAGAAAAGGCCTTTTGTGTATCATGGCAGCTACCAAAACTAATATATGTCCCCTATTAAGAATTAGAAAAGAGGGGGCTGGAGAGATGGCTCAGTGGTTAAAAGCACTGGCTGTTCTTGCAGAAGACTCGGGTTTGATTTCCAGCATCCACATGGCAGCTAACAACTTCTATAACTCCAGTTCCAGGGAATCTAATGCCCTCTTCTGGCCTCTGTGTGCACTACACAACACAGGTGCACTTACACACATGCAGGCATAATACTAAATAAATAAATAAATAAATAAATAAATAAATAAATAAAAGTTTTTGAAAATCAGAAAACAGAAGGGATCTTGGGGCACAAACTTGACACAATAGGCCTTAACATATATGACATAATGCATGAACTCCAGCATGGAGGATGGGCTATGGGGGGATGCAGATAGGGGAGGGGGGGATAGATATGCTTAAGATGTATTGTATGAAAAGTAAAAAATTCAATTAAAGAAATGGAAAAAAAGAATAGAAAAGAAACCAGGTGTGGTGGTGCACACCTTTAATCCCAGCACTCAGGAGGTAGAGGCAGATGGGCCAACCTGGTCTATATAGCAAGTTCCAGGCCAGCCAGGGCTATATAGCAAGACCCTGTCTCAACAGATAAACAAACAAGTGTATAAATGGATGTGTATATATAAATATTATATATATAAAAATGAAAATTGGAAAAGAGAGATGACCCGGAAGAAAAATTATACAACCAGCAAAATCTCTCCCAAAGATAACTATTCCTATTAAGGCATTTTCTAGAATTTTTTCAGAGTATTTATATACAGATATGTGAAAGGCATTCAAAAATAAGGCTTAAAGACTGGAATTAGGTAGTCCTGAGTTCTAATCTGACATGATGCTTAGCCTATAGAAAACATTCAGTTAATTCCGGCTATTACAAATATACATTTTAGAAGAATGAGACTGTCTTATATGCATACTATTTTGGTATACTACTTTCTCAACTCTGAACCACTTCCCCATCATCAGCATCATTCTCTGAGATCTGGATTTCTGCACTCAGATTTGTACAAAAAGAATTAGGTGATTCTTTGGAGGGGGCATCAAAGCTAGCTTGCCAACCCTGTTATGGTGGGTTTTTTTTTTTAGCTGGCTCAGATCCCATAACACTGCAGTGGGTGGGTGTCACCTGGTAGTTGTGGTCCATATAATGCAAGGAGAATAATACCGTGTTTATGTGAGTGTGCGTGCGTGTGTGTGTGTGTGTGTGTGTGTGTGCATGTGTGTGAATGTGTGTGTGTCTGTCTGTGTCTGTATCTGTATTGGTGTCTGTCTGTGTGTGTGTGTCTGTGTATGTACTAGGGTACCCAGAAGGGTGGGCTTATTTCCAATTTCAATTATTTCAGGAAAAGGAAGTTAGAATCAAGTTACAGGGTAAATGGCCTTGGCATCTCTTGGTCCTGAGTTGCAGGGGTCTCAATCTAGGAGGTGGATCCTGGGTGCCTAGTTAAGGGACTGACTAGATGAAGCACTCACTGAGCAATGTGATTCCTTCAGGAAGAGCAGCTTTACCTTGAGCCAGTTCTAGATTTCTGTAACTCACTCTATGAACATCCCCAGGTCTTTAGCAAAGTTCTATTTGAGCATTGCCATTGGTTTTAGTGATAAGGGGGTATATACCAATCTTTAAACTACATCATTAAAGAGAGTTAGGAGAGTAGTTTTTGAGCTAGGCATGGTAGTGCACACCTGTAATCCCAGTACCCTGGAGGCTGAGGTTAAGAAGATAACAAGTTCAATACTAGCCTATGCTACATAGCAAGACAAACCACCAACCTCTTCCCTTCCAAACAAAAAGAAGGAGTGGCATCCTCTGGCTCCCACAGTCGGTGCTGGAGGGCACCCATAATCATGGCATCAGGTCCCACCACAACTTTCTCCTCAGTGAATTTTCCTATATGGAATACATGTAGGCTCTGGGTTTTATGTTGATGAAGGCAGGTCCAGTTCATTATAATTACATGCTTTTGGTAGTAAGTGCACAAGTTCCTAGAAGGGCCAGGATCTACCTCGGTCATCTTTCAAATTCTCCATTGTCCTTCCTATAGGGCTTAGTGTCAAGTTAAGAATGGATGATTTTAGCCCATCTTACTTGATAACTTCTCTGTAGATGACCTCTGTATCTTTAGCTAATATTGGTGGCAAATTCTAATGATCACCCATATCTGGTGCTGGGTGAACATTGGTTTTTCCATCTAGAGCCATAGAAGGGCTACCTTGCTCTGTGTCCCTTAGTCAAATGACAAGTTCTTGCACCTTAATTGCTAGTGTGACCACACAAGCATATATCAAAATGATAGGAATAAAAGTTGGTAAAGCTTTTACTAATGTACTCCATAGGCAATTATAGCAAGCAGCAACCTCTGTTGATGTACACAGGAGTGAGAAAGAAGTATACCTTTGATATACTTTAGCCTTGAACTTTGAGACCTGTTTCCCCAGCAGCCCAGGTTGCTTCTCCTGACTAGCACAGCTAGAAAGAACCTCTTGCCCAAGTTGACTGGCACCATTCAGGTAAGTTCATTTATGACCTGCAGATGGCACTGCAAAGACCATCTTCCAGCACAGTTCTGCACTCATTCTATGGTGTGAGAAGGAGCATGGGAGAGGCTTCTATACCACCTATTTCTTTGGAGATATTCCAAACTAAGATTCACTGTTTTGTTTTAGGGACACTGAGTTGAAGGCAAGGTAGCATGATATAACTGAACCATTGCTAATGCAGGTTCTCAAGCTTGGCACAGCTAACATGTTGGACTGGATAGTTCCGTGTGTGGAGGGGGCTGTACTATGTGCATTGTAGAATGCTTAGCAGCATCCCTGGCCTCTACTCATTCAATGTGAGTAGCATTTCCCTCTTTATTATGAAAAACCCCAAATAGTTCCAGATATTGCCAAATATCCAAAGGGGGTGGGGAATGCAAAAATACCCAGAGTTCAGAACCACTACTTTAAATCTTGGTCTTCTTGGTTGATAATGTGGTTACTAACATGAAGTGCATAAAATTGCCGTGAAGACTCTGTATCTGGAGCTTGAATGTAATGGGTTAGTACTTGGCAAAGACCCAAACAAACTCTTTCATGCAAAAATCTGATGGGGGGAATTTGTATGTGATCTTGAAGATGCCCCAGTCTTTCTGCTGAGCTACCTTCAAACCTTTGGTTATAGTATATTAATTAATACAGCACATCTCTATTTTGTCTCCTCTCCCTGGGACTACAGTGTATATTCTTTTAAAGCAGCAATCAATTTTATACATTTGAGTTCTTCTATATTATGGACTATGTACTGAGTAATTAGGAAAAAAGTTACTGGTGAATTACTTGAATACAAAGCAGCTAGTACCATTCCTAATTGAAGATCCCTCTGTTGGAAACACTCCTCTGCCTTCCCATTGTTCTCTCCTCCTCCTCCTTCCACCTGTAAATCTCCTGATCCCTTAAACCCAACTCTTAAAACTTCAAGAAGTTTTCCATGACTGCCTCCCCACTACTTGGATTTAACCATTGTGCTGCCTTTCTATTTTATAAATGTTTCTCTTTCTTTTTAAAATGATTTTATCTTCTGCATATATATGTACATGTGTACACATGTGTGCATGTGTACATATGCACACATTTGTGTGGAGGCCAGAGGACAACCTCTGGTGCCATTTCTTCTCAGACACTGTCTACCTTGCTTTTATGAGTCTGGGTCTTTCACTGGCCAGCTGGCCAGCAAACTCCACAGGTCTGCCTGACTCTACCTCTCCAGTACTGGGATTACAAGCACATGCCAAAGCACTCAGCTTTTTATGTGGGTTCTGAGGGCTGAACTTAGGTCCTCATGCTTGTGTAGCAAGCACTCATGGATGGAGGTAGCTCCCTACCTCATAAATGCTTCTGTTAGCATCCTTCACATTGTATTGTCATTTATTTATTTACATTTTTCTGCTAATATAGACTGTAAGTCTCTTGAGCATGGGGTCTAAATCTTAATTCTGGCTTTGTTTCTCCACCATATGCAACATTAGTTAGAGTCCAATATTTGTTGAATGAATGAATGAATGAATGAAGGGGTTGAGGAAGGAGGGGTAGGACCTAAAGGTCAGGAGCACAGAAAAGGTACTGGAGGACTGTGGCAGCAAATCGCCTCCCATTGATACCTGTCAGGTAGGTCAGAGCTTCAAAGGGCACCTCCTTGTATTCATTGAGAAACATCTGGATCTGCTGTGTGCTAATCCTTAGGTCAGATTCATTGAATTCATAAGGAATGTTCCAACCTGCAAGAGGCAGAGAAGAATTACAGGCTTCAGTGCTGAGAGTTCTTAATTTCCACTCAGAGATTGAGTGGGTAAGTTAAGTATCATTATGGATCAAGAGCCTCTTTCGGCCCTGTGAATATCCAGTACCCAGCCAACTATCCGCTTTGACATTTATTGCCAACGTGGGAGCCATTCTGCTTGAGAAAACATCCATTCTAAAATCAATTTTCTTCTGGGTCTCCCCATTTGTTAAGGAAGATGTTAACATCCTGGGATTTGTGGAATGGGAATTATTCAGCTTGGCTGGAAGACTGTGGTAATACGTAGGACTCCAAAAATAACCCACAGAGCTGGGGGCAGTAGCTATGTCTGGGCAGCAGAAAGAAGGTGTATTGGAGAATTCTTGCATTCAGGGAAGAACCGGATGGCCAATCTCATAGAAACTGTACCTGCACATCCAAAGGTTAATGCTTTTCTCAGAAGAATTCAATCCCTCCTAAACATTTGCACTCAAATTGAAAATGTAATTTAACAATAAAACTCATGCTGGAAAAAGCAGAGTGAGGCAGTCGATTCTAAAACAATCGTTGCATGGATTTCTGGAATTCTTGGCATGGAGCAGAGAGTGGTGGTGGGCAAATGTAACGCATGAGAGGCAGCTGTGGTACGGTTCCCTCCCTCCACCCCCAGTGCAGTAGTTACATAGCCTGTGGAGCTATCTGGAGTTGGAGAAAGGGGACCAGCAAGCTGAGCCGGGCGGAGGCGGGGGGAAGGGAACGAATAAGAATAAAACTTAGGACATAGGTGTATAAACAAGCCATAATGAAACTCATTACTGTGCATGCTAACTTTAAAATTAATTTTCAAATGGAAGGGAATGCTCAGAAAGAATCACCATGAGGAGGATAATTTCCTTCCGTCTCTAACCCAAAAGAACTACAAGGAATCCCCCACGGTAGGTCCTTTCAAAGCTATTGACCAAAATCAAATGCAGCCCATAGGCCAGAGAACATGAATGACAGGATGACAGAGGTCTGATAATCTGGCCTAACAAGATTCCTTACTTATTCATTAATTAGTTTCCATTAATAATGAAATGCATTTTTTTGAGAAATTCAATGTTCCAGGTGTATTTCTGTCTTTCATCATTATGTACATGTAGAGAGTTAACTCAAAAGCTGTCCTGGTGACAACCTCGGGCACAGTGCCCGAGATAAACACATGGCCAAGTGAGTAGCCTCCAGTCCTCTCACTATCACTACTTCTGTAGGTGGAGGAACCCTGACTGGAATATTACTTTTGTGTGTGTGTTATGTGTGTGCAGATGCGTGCACACATATGTATGCATGAATGTGGAAGCCAGAGGTCCACTTTGAGTGCTGTCCCCAGATGACATCCATCTTACTTTTTGAGATGCAGTCTCTCCCTGGGATCTAGGGCTCACAAATTAGGCTAGGCTGGCTGTCCAGTAAGGCCCAGGGATCTTCCTGTCTCTACCTTCCCAGCATTGATGCTACAAATGTGTGCTACCACGCCCAGCTTTTCACATGAGTGCTGGTCATTGAACTCAGGTCCTCATGCTCCCCATCTCCAAATATGAGGGTTTTTTAAATGATCTTGACTTGGTTATAAAGTTGCCAGATTTAGAGGGGAAAAAAACCAGGATATTAAGTGAAATTTTAATTCCAGATAAATAACAATTCATACTAAATATAAGTATGCCCTAAGTCATTCCTGGAACATATGCTGTGTTCCATTGGCCACTCTGAGTGCAAGCCTGAACACATGCCTGTAGACCCACCTGTAGACCCACCTATGGTCTTTTCCCCAGGTTAACCCAGATACACTGTCATGCCTCACCTAGGGGTCCAAAGTTCTTCCTCTCTTGAACGATGGCATGGAAGAAGCAAAGGCCAAACAACAGCTTTTGCCACATAACTGGCTTTGTACAACTTTGGAAGAACAACGGGTCAGAGATGGGATCATTGAGGTAGGAACGCAAAAGGTTGGCCCGGAGCCCTTTGGGGGGCTCATTAGTCATTTTGATTCCATTCTGGAGAATGCTGACTGGAAACTTCTCTGATGGATAGCTGGTTAGCCAGAGTCTAGAAATACAAAGGGCCCCACTGTTCAGAGTGTTGCTATAGATATTATATTGAAAAGCAGTAACAAACCATTAACTACCACTAGATCCCACCCATCCAACCAGAAAACTTCCTTTATATCCCCTCATTCCCATTAATGCTCACAGTACTCTATGACGGAGGATAACCATCCTCTTTTACCAGTGAGGAAACAGAGTCGCAGAGACACCATGTGGGTTTTTCAAGGTGTTGTACAGCCATTTTCTCTGAATAGAGGGAGGAGGGAGGCTCAGAAGAATCAAAAGCCAACAGGGCTCACAGGAAGCTCACAAAACACAAAATTCAAGAAGCTCCAAAGGTTCTAGGTCTACAAGGCCTCTCTCCAAGGTTCCATAAGCAGTGCTTAGTTGCTAGGGAAGAGGAGACTCCAGGATGCAGCTTCCACTAGCTGTCGCCTGTGCCTAAGAGGGCTTTTTGGTGATGCAGCTACTTCTGAGTCACCTTCGCTTATACTGCTATAAGTAACCCCAATAAACTCAATGGTTTGCCAAGCTACACTTGGGGGCAATCATTTCCTTGGGATACCATTGGCACCCTATCTAGGATGAATAGACAATTTTTTGTTACCTCTCCAGGAAAAGTCATGCAACACAGGGACGCATCACTTGGAAGTAGCTGAGTAAGAGATGAACTTAGGTCTCTGATCCCTAAGCCCCTGCTCTTCATTTCCTCATTTGGCTCTTTCTGAAGTTTCCAGATCTAACTGGATGAAGTCCTATACTAGGCACTGCAGAAGTGTCTGATGTGAGCAAAGCCTTATCTGTAGTCTCCAGATACCCACAGCCTCTTGCTAGGGGAGGAAATGGGAGCCAGACAAGAAATAAGATAAGCAAACAGCACAGCTGAGTACAAGGTGTTATAAAATCAAGGCCACGGGGAGGGCAGAGAGATTGGGTGGTGTGGGACTGTAGGAAGAAGAGGTTTTAATGAGCCAGGGAAAATCAGGCAAATATTAGAGAATAACGAACAATGGCCTGCAAGATAAACCCTGGAGTCTTCTGGTTTGGGGGGGGGGGTGTTTGTTTTGTTTTTGAGATAGGGCTTCCCTCTAGCCCCAGCTGACTTAGAACTCACTATATGGATCAAGCTGGCCTCCATCTCCCAGAGATGCATCTGCCTCTGCCTCCGGTGCTGGGACTAAAGGCATGCAGCACTACGTTCAGCCTGACATTTTATTTTTATTTGTTTGCTAGACATTAAAGAAATTTCCAGCAGGCAGACTGGGGGATGGGAGCCTGTGGAAGCACAGGAACCAGGCTGAGCACCCACACTGAGGAAAGGGAGCTAGAGATGTTGTCAGCTTGGGGCAGGTGGCTAGGGTCTAAGCACAGGGCTGGGAGTTTGGAGAAGACATCATAAACTGGTGGCTAAGCCTTGATTCCAGCCTATGGATGGCCAGTGTTTGATATGGTTTTGAAGTAGTCATCAACGTTACATAATTTGTAGCTTTCTTTTAAAATTCTAGGTTATTTGTGTTTGCTTGTTTGTTTGAGGCAAAGTCTCAATATGTAGTCCTGGCTGGCCTGGAACTTGCTATATAAACCTGCCTGCCTCTGCCTCCTCAGCACTTTGATTAAAGGTGTACACCACCTTGACCAGCCTATTTATTTTCATGTTCTTGAAGCTGGCCTCAAGCTCACTACGTAGCCAAGGATGACCTTAAACACCTGCCTCTATATTTCCTAGAAGCTGGCATTACAAGTCTAGATCTCTACATCTGGCAAGCTGTACACTAATTTTGAGGAAGAGAAAAATAACACAATAGCCCCTTTTCAGAATCTGTACTATCATGAGAAAGGGAGGCGGGAGCATCACAATTGCCCTCCTTGGGATTTAAGGTACCATATGAAAGGGAGACAGGTTGGAAGCAGCCAGGCTTTGTTGAGGCCCCTTAAATAACAGGTTCTTTCCTTCTGTAAAGTTGGGCTTTTTATTGATTTAGTTAATTATTTTTATAATTATTAAATTATTATAAAATTATTATAAATTATTATTGATTTAGTTAATTATTTTTATAATAACTAAATTAAGTTAATTATTTTATAACTATTATTATTTTTATAATAACTGTGTGCATGAATGTTTTGCCTGCATGTATATAAGTATGCCACATGCATACAATGCCTACAGAGGCCAGAAGAGGGCACTGGATTCCCTGGAGGAATTATGGACAGTTGTTAGATGCTATGTGGGTGCTAGGAACCAAACCTGGGTCCTCTGCCAAGAGCAGCTACTGCTTTTAACCACTGAGCCAGCTCTATAGGCCCTTTTCTTTCTTTTGATCTTCAAATGTACTGTTAACATGAGTTTTGGTTCAAAGAATGAGATCTGGGTGGCAGGAGGATCAAGGAATTCAAGGTCATCCTGGGCTATGTGAACACTGTCTGAAAAAAAACCCACAAAAAACTAGACTCCTACTTTAAAGTCACCAGCAAATTTGATCATAGGAAACCTGCATTCCTGAATGACCACAGTGAACTAGTTCGAAGCAGTAATGCCTGGTTCATCGCTATCACCATCATTCCCTACTGGGTTCTCACAGCAAGGTCAACAGCCTGTGAGGATTGCTGATATACTGTGTGAAGGGGCTATTTCTTTTTTTCCTCATTTATAATAAGTGCCCAGCCCAATGTCAACAAGAATATTGGTTTTCCTCAGTGAGTATCACTGGTGCTCAATGAATTTTTTACCACCCCAAACCAAATAATCTTTTATAAAATGTTTTAAATTATTATTTTTTAAATAGTTTTTATTAATTTTTTTCTGCATATGAATGTATTGCCTGCATGCATGCAAGTGCATCCATGTTGTGCAATGCCCATGGGGGTCAGAAGAGGATGTCAGATCCCCTGGAACTGGAGTTATGGATGGTTATTAGCTGCCATATAGGTCCTCTGCAAGAGCAGTCAGTGCTCTTAACCACTGAACCATCTCTCCAGTCCCATTAAACATTTTTATTTATGTTTGTGAGTGAACGTTGTTTATGTTTGGTTGCCCTCAAGGGCCAGAAGAGGGAATTGGATCTGGAGTTACAGGCAGTTATTGTGAGCTAGAGTTACAGGCAGTTGTGAGCCACACATGAAGGTGCTAGAAATTGAACTCAGGTCCTCTGGAAGAGCAGAAGTGTACTTGACCACTGAGCCATCTCTCTAGCTCCCAAATGATATTCCTGAAGCTCACATTAATATTCACAGACTTCTCAAACTCCCTTTTGGAAATCTTACATGAGAATGTAAGTCAATTGTGGCTTAATTTGGTTTGTAAATAAGTACCAAATATTTCCTAGGAGACAAGACCATAATGAAAATAACCACCAAGTTTTGCTGCCTAGAGCAATGGTCAGTAAGCTCTTCTCATAACAGAATGGTAAATATTTTAGAGTTTGTGGGCTTATATGGCATCTGCCTCATACAAAACCAGTTGTAGACAGTACATGATTAACTATGGGCATTTTTCAATAAAACTTTATGTATGGACTATGAAATTTGAATTTCATATAATTTTTATGTGTCATGAAAGACTATTTCATAGTTTTTTTCCCCTGTACCCGCTGGACTTGGCTCACAGGCCAGTCTCATGCCCTGGTATAGAGTAAGAGAACCCCTGAACATCCGCAGTGAAAGTGGCTCCGAAGCCAGACGGCTCGACTCTTCATCATGAATATAAAAAGTGAGGCTCAGTCTAGCCAGCCCTTCAAACTCACACACACAAGCAACTGCCATTTCTAACATGAATGAAAATTTCATGGAGTCCAAGAAATACAGAGTAGAGAAATAGGAAATGATTCTATTTTCAGGCTGGAGAGCTGGCTCATCAGTTAAGAGCACTGGCTGCTCTTGCAGAGGACCTGGGTTTGAGTCCCAGCACCCACATGGCAGCTAACAACTGTCTGCTAACAATCCTCTGTAATACTCTCTTCTGACCTCCTTGGGTATTGCACAACACAGGTGCATGAAAACAATACACTCATATACATAAAATAAAAATAACAAATAAAATGTTTCCTCTGTGTTGACCCTCCTCTTTGTAAATTGGACACTGGTTCAAGTCCATCTTGTGGGGTCTCCACAGCCTCCTTGATCAAGAGAGCAGGTGACTCACCACAGTTACAGGACATTTTGAGGATGCTCATAGTCCCCTGGAACTAGTCGACCTAGGAGGGCAAGGGGCAAAAACTGTCCTTTATGTCCCTCTGACCAAATTAGTATAGGCCTCAAAGTATGTCTGTTAAACATCCAAGAAGGTTAGTTCCACCAGTCTGGTACTTTTAATTACCATGTGCCATGTAGACAGAGCTTGGGCAAAGACCAATTGTTCTCAGATAAACCTTGCCTAGACATACATTTCTTGATCTGGTATGTATAATTTGTCAGTAGGTTGTTAGACTAATATGGTTCCCTTTGGTTTTTAAAACTAAGCTAGGCATTATTTATCTCTTGCATTGTCTAAACCTTTCAGCATGGTTTCCCCAATTAAGGTGCCCCCATTTTTCCCATTTCTCCCTTAATAATACCCCTCTCCTATGAAAATATTTAAGAAAATATTTCTTAAAAAGAAACTATGCTATTCTCAATGACAATACTTGTTTGAAAAGCAGTCTTACTGGGGCTTAGCAGTTAAGAGCACTGGCTGCTCTTGCAGAGGACCCAGGTTGAGTTCCCAGCAACCACATGGCAGCTAACAACTGACTAAAACTCCAGTTCCAGAGGATCAGACTCTCCCTTCTGGTCTCCATGGGCATTGCATGCACATGGTATGCTTACATCATGTAGGCAAAACATTCATACATTTTTAAATGTGTTAAAAATAGTCTTATTAAAACTACCCCATCTGGCTAAACAGGTCAGCGTGGTCCCCAGGCCTCAGGTGTAGAAGTGACTTGCTTGAAGCTTGCCTATCTCCTCCTGACCAGCAGCACTGTGCAGGTAACATGCTTCAGGCAATTGCCTGGAGAGGCCCATCAGCCATGGCCCCAGGCCAGCGTGTCAGTCTGTGCTACTGCACCTGTCTCCCCTGTGGGTCCTCTAGATCTCACCACAAGCCTAGGGTATCTGTGCCAGGAGGTGGGAGTAGTGGACATCCTAAGAGGTGACCCTGCACCTGAGTAGCCTTCAGGAAGGCCCCCAGGCTCTGCCTACAGTGTCTTCTCTTCAGTCCCAGTGGTCCTGGGTCAGACCTCAAGTTCCTATAGGAAGCACTTTGGGAGGAGGCTGGACAGCAGGGATATGTACAGAGAATCTGCTGGCCAAGTGCCTGGTATGTCTGGTGGAGAAGACCGTGGATACCCCGGATGTGAGGGAGAACACCACATGCTAGGTATAAGACCTGCCTCAAGGCCTATGGCAGCCCTATCAATCTTGGAGCTATAGACAAACCCATGTGTTCCACTGCTCACAGCATTATTGCCTATGTGCTGAGCTGCTAGCAAGGGCAGGTCTTGGGGTGTCCCACAGCTACAGCCTGACAAGGCCCTCTGTGTATGAACTTGTCAGGATGCTGACTGCCTTCATTTCAATGCCAATGAATCTGTTGCTATGTACATCACAATGGACAGACATGTGGTCACCAGCCAGATGCTAACTCCACATGCTTGCTGTCCAAAACTACTCTTCCTTTGTTGCATTTGGTGAGGCTCCTCAAAGGGAATTGAGTAGATTTCTGTCTTATGTTATGGCTCCTCTACTAGTTCTGCATGCTGGTATCTGAACCTAGACCATATGTTCATCTCATAGGAAATAAGCCTGCACTGGATGTTGTCCTTTCAACATAGTCCAGTGTCCCCAGAGGTGGCTGGGCCCATTCTGACCTCTTAATTCAGTCTTCAAGGACCATGCTGCTTTCCACCTGACAAGGGGCCCTCAAGGCCCCATTCTAACCCTCTGAGCTTGCTGGAGGCTTCCAGCAATCACCTGCTAGGTGTCATCCATCTAACGGATGGATTACTCTCCCTGAGCCCCAGCTGGAAGGTCTTGTCTGGCCAGGTGTGGTCATGAGTTCTTGTTTCTCAGGCCTTGGACAGGACTTTGCTGGGGGACCTGACAAGACTATGTGGCTACCTTCCCTCTGGATGGATCCTGTTTGCTGTCTACTCTGGGGTCCCTGGCCTAGGCTGGGCTGTAATCCTCCAGGGAGCATCACACTGGATCCCAAGCAGTTCAGATCTTCCTCAGCCCCCACTCTGCTTGAACTTTGTTGTGCCCGGGGATCCAGGTCCCTCGATGGTAATAAAGCTCCAGTGAGGACATTCAGAAAGAAGAAAGGTAGCCTACCTGTCTTTGCACAGCCCCAATCTGCTCCTAACATCATGTGATGATGGACAGCCCTGGATGAAAGTGTTTTTAAAAGATTAGAGTTTTAAAAGATTGGGGCTATAGAGATGGCTCAGCGGTTAAGAGTACTGACTGTTCTTGCAGAAGACCCAGGTTTGAATCCCAGCACCCACATGGCAGCTAACAACTGTCTGTACTCCAGTTCCAGGGGATCTGACAACCTCTTCTGTCCTCTGTGGGCATTGCACAACATGGGTGCACTTACCTATATGCAGGCATAACACTCATACACATAAAATAAAAATAATAAATAAAATATTTAAAAAAATAAAATTAAAAAGGTTAGAGCAATAACTTCATGGTTAAGAGCACTTACTGCTCTTCCAGAGGACCCAGCACCCACATGGTGGCTAACACCTGTCCATAATTCCAGTTCCAGGGGATCCTACACCCTCTTCTGGCTTCCACAGGCACCAGGTGCACACGTGATATGCTTATATATATGCAGGCAAAACAGTCATACACATAAAAAATTTTTAAGTGTTTTTTAAAATATGAACTCATGCTCTGTCTTGATCTGTTCAGATTGCTGAAACAAAAAGCAGTGACTGGGGGTGTGTGTGTCTGTAAACAACAAATATATTTCCTTAAGGAAAAAGTCTTTTTGATGGTTAATCTACCTTCATATATATATATAATCTATCTGCTGTCAATTCCCCCTAACAACTTCCTACAGTGTGTCCCCCAGAGTCATAGACTGACTTCTCAGTATTCTTTGCCTTTAGAAATGCTGTCCCTTCTGATTAGAATGTCTTTCCTGGCAAACTCCTACTCATATTCCCAAACCCCAGGCAGTTATCAGTTCTTCAGACCTTCCCCAACTTTCCTGTCCTTTTTCTGTGTTTCATGGTTCTTGTTCGGGTGTGACATGGTATGCTAGTGAGTTTATGTTGTCAACTTGATACAACCGAGAGCAGCTGGGAGGAGGGAACCTCAACTGAAGAATTTCCTTAATCAGATTGGCCTATGGCCACGTGTGTGAGACTGTCTTGAACGATGATTGATTGGGAGGCCCAGCCCACTGTGGATGGTAGGTAGGCAGACCTGGGCTGTATAAGAAAGATAACTGAGCATGAGCCAGAGAAAGAGCAAGTCAGTAAGAAGCATTCCTATGTGCCTTCAGTGACAGGCCATTACCTGAAGTGTAAGTTGAAATAAAACTGTTCCTCTCCAAGTTGCTTTTGGTCATAGTGTTTAATCACAACAACAGAAAAGCAAACTAGAGTACACTTGTAGCCACAAGATTCATCTATGAGCTGTCTCTCCCAGCTCAAGGGTTTCTCAAGGGTGGGACTGAGCCCTTTGCCTTGTCAGCTACCAGCATGCTGTCTAGAGCTTGAGGCTGGGCTCTAGGGAAGGCTGTGCTAAGGCAACATCTCACCTGAACCTTATGTTGGTTTTCTTAGGAACAATCACCTCCTCACAGATCTTCTCCAGCGTGGGCATCCAGCTTGTAGCCAGGTGGCAGTTCTGTAGGACCACCCAGGTCCCCTCTTGGATGGCACTGTTGATCATTTTGGCAGCAATAGGGCCTTGGCCTTGGCCAAGGGAAATGATCTGTGTTTTGGTACCTCCCATGCCAAGGTCATCTGCAAACTTCAGCAGACCTGAGACCAGGAAGAAAAGACGTTTTTGAAAGAAGTCAGCTAAGAACAAATTAACAGTCACAATGCAAAAGGAGGGACACATTAACATTTTGATTAAAAAAGAAACTAATTAGCTGGGCTTTAATCCCAGCCAGCACTCGGGAGGCAGAGGCAGGTAGATCTCTGTGAGTTCAAGGCCAGCCTGGTCTACATAGTGAGTTCCAGGACAGCTGGAGCTACAGGGAGACCAAAAAATAAAATAAAATAAAATAAATAAATATAAATAAATAAATAAATAAACTAATTGGCCTCTGTTAACTGCAAAATCTTTGTTTGTGAAGCTTTAGATGGCTGGTAAGATGGCAAAACAAATCAACTCATGTTTTGCTTTTGCCCTAAACATAGAGACATTATTATTACTATTGTTATTATTATTTTTTTATTATTTTGGGACAGCAGTTCTTGCTATGTGGCCCAGGCTAACCTCAAACTTGTGATCCTTCTCCTTCAGCCTTCCAAGTGCTAAGATGACAAATATGCCCCATGCTGCCTGGCTCTAGCTTTGTACTCTTAAAAGCAGAGTTGGAACTGAGGCTTATGTATAAAGTTGAGATCCTCAAAGGACTGTACTTTCATATTAAGAAGGCCTAAAAATCTGGGCTACTGATTCATGGAAAGAACATGGAAAGCCTACCACTGAACTGGAGCCTGGGTGGAAAACAGAATTCTCCAGTGAGACATCAAGGCACCAAGTTCACAGCACATGCAGATGAAGGCGTGGATGCACAGTAACCCCTTGTTGGAAATTCCCTAGCTGAGACATTTCACGTAAGACTGAACCAGAGCATTAAAGTCCCTAGGGCACCAGTGTTTGGCAAAACAAATCAACTCATGTTTTGCTTTTGCCCTAAACATAGAGACATTATTATTACTATTGTTATTATTATTTTTTTATTATTTTGGGACAGCAGTTCTTGCTATGTGGCCCAGGCTAACCTCAAACTTGTGATCCTTCTCCTTCAGCCTTCCAAGTGCTAAGATGACAAATATGCCCCATGCTGCCTGGCTCTAGCTTTGTACTCTTAAAAGCAGAGTTGGAACTGAGGCTTATGTATAAAGTTGAGATCCTCAAAGGACTGTACTTTCATATTAAGAAGGCCTAAAAATCTGGGCTACTGATTCATGGAAAGAACATGGAAAGCCTACCACTGAACTGGAGCCTGGGTGGAAAACAGAATTCTCCAGTGAGACATCAAGGCACCAAGTTCACAGCACATGCAGATGAAGGCGTGGATGCACAGTAACCCCTTGTTGGAAATTCCCTAGCTGAGACATTTCACGTAAGACTGAACCAGAGCATTAAAGTCCCTAGGGCACCAGTGTTTGCATATGCAAAGTTGTTCTTCCACGGGATACTCCTAGAACCCAATGTATATGAGGTTTCCACAAAGTAGCATAAATTTGGTTATGGAAAACTCACTATAAAAATATAAACTATGCTAGGAAGTATATCACCGTTAGGGATAGTCAGCGCATAGAACAACCACAATTAATACTCCAAGGATTACATATGGTCTCCGAAAGGGAGAATGATGTTCCTCCAATTCATATGTTGAAGTGCTAATCTTCAGTTTCTCACAATAGGCCTGTGATTGGAGGTAGGTCTTTATAGAGAAAACTAGGCTAAATTGACATCATTAAGGTAGACACTAATGCAATATGACTCTTCTTCTAAGGATAAGAGAAAAAGAGATTAAGACACAGATTCACAAACGTAAGACCATGCGAAGACACAGAAGATGGTTAACAACAAGCCAAACAGAGCTAGGCATGGCTGTGCACACATGGAATCTCTGGACTCTGGAGGCTGAGGTCCATGAGTTTGGATTCAGCCTGGGCTACATAGTGAGTTCCAAGGTAGCCTGGGCTAGTAAGATCTTATCTCAAAAACAAACAAACACCCAAAGTCTTAAATAAATGAAATGATTTTTTTTAAGTAAAACAAATTAAAAGAGAAAACAACAATCCAAAGAGAGAGGCCTCAGAGGAAATCAACGCCCAACCCTTTGATCACAGACTTCTAGTCTCTAGAACTGTGAGAAAATTTGTTGTTAATCCATCAGTCTGTGGTACTATTTTAATGGCAGCCCTAGCAAACTAATAGTCTTTTAAAAGTACCATGAAAGAACTACATCTGAAGCTTAGTAAAGAAGGCATAGAAACCATGATAAAATTCAGAATTCTATTTTAAATAATGCATGAGTTTGGAACAAAACAAATAGATCTTTTAGAAGGGAAAAACCTACTCATTTGAAGATAAAAACTCAAAAGTACTGATCAAAAGAGTAGATTAGTATAAGAAATAAGGCATAATGGCCCATTTTCAGTATGAGGTGCATTTAGAGCTCATCAAAGAATTGAAGGTAAGCAGGAGACACTTGACCACACAGCCTTCCCTAGCTGGCAGCCAGCATCTGCTTGCCTGGGTGACTTTAGTTTATCTTAGAAGGTTGAAAAGTTAACAGTCAGTCTGCTACTTGACTTGACATGAGTCCACATTATCAGGAAATGAGGAGGATACCAAGCCCCA